AAAAATAACAATTATTTTAAAACAAATTGAGTAATAATTATTATTTTCACCTTAAAAAAGAAAATTGAATTTTATTTTAATTAAAACTGTCACATGTCAATTTTTATTAATTCATTTTAAATTAAAAATTATAATTTATCTATCTAATTTATGTAAAATTTTAATTTTTTCAAGTAAAAAGTTTGTCATTATTATTAAATAATTGTACCTAAACCTAAGACAAACTAAAAAAATAAATAAATAAATGCAAACACATACTAATTCATTACTACAAAACAAAAACCTGAATGTTAGGTTTTAATAATGAAATTCCTGTTTTTGGTAAACTTCTAGATGATTCGATGCACATGATTTGTCATTAAGGATTCCTATGTGAAACAGTTTAACTTGAATTATTTTAAAAGTTTTCCTAATGGGAACTTATTTTAACATAAACTATTGGATACGGAGGTGGAATATTATAGGGTTTTATTCTTATTTAATAATTAATATAATACAGTTTGATTGAATTTAAATTTTATTATATTTTTTTATTTCTTAATTTATTTGTATTATACTTAAATAAATAATTAGATCCATATTGCAAAAAGTTTTTGAAATGAATGCACATGTTATAAAATCTAATCAATTCATCAAATCACAAATTTTCTTTGTAAAGATGATATCAATTCAATGCTAGAAATTTTAAAATCCACCATTTCAAATTTTAGATGAGAGATATTAAGCAATGGGTAAATCTCAGAAAAACAAAAAGAAAAAACTTTTGGGTGATTAATAACATATTTGATCTTTCAATCATAATTCCAATTTTATCTTTATTAACAATTTAATTTTGTGATTTACTACAAGAAAAATGATTCTTCCATTTTTTTCTTTATGCAAAAAAGAAATTTGATTTTAAACAATGCCATAATTATAATATCTTATAAAATTATAAAACTATAAAATTATAATTATAATATATTATTAAATAAATAAACTATTATAAATACATCCTTAAATAAAACAAATTAATTATAAAAAATATTATATTATACATTTATAATAGGACTAAATATTATAACTATACATTTCATTTTGATTTTTGTTACTTTCATGTGCCATCAAAATCTGTAGCTCTGCAAGCAGGGGGAAAATAAAAAAATCAGAGTGGCGGCAGACTACTGAAGTACAGAGTGAGAGAATTTTTATTTACATTCTCATGCAAAATGCAATATTAAATTAAAAATCAGGATCTGATCTCAGTGCTTCTTCTCCTCGTCACGGGTCAGACGGTTCACAAGCCAATAAATTGCATTGCATTCCTCCTCCTCCTCTTCCCATCCCACTTTTTTCTCTCTGTTCACATTTCAAACTATCTGTCTTAATTTGCCACTTTAGTCTTCGTGATCTCAGCTACTTTCGGCTGTATTTTCTCCAAATTTTGATCTTTTTGGCATCTGGATGTTCTTCATTATTCGGTTTCTGATCTGGGTTGTTTACAAATTTGGATCTTGAAGGTTTAGTGCAATATGGGTCGTCTCATCTTTTTATTCTGTTCTGCTTACTGTTCCTCTTATTACATTTTCATGCTGCTTGCGTTAGTGGAAGTTTGAGAGGTCACTAGGAAAGTCTTTGCTTTTCCTTCTTCTGATATTTTTGTAAAGATTTCATTTTTCTTGATTTTCTGCTTTTTAGGTTCCTTTGTCCGGTTGGAGTCGTTGAAGAATCATCTGAGAAATTTAAGCTCTTGATCAATCCAAATGGAAGGGTCCTGCGTGGCATTGAAGGCTAATGCCAATCATGTTTGTGTCAGCAAAGGTGGCTTGAGTCGTGGAGGGTGTATCTTTTGGGGTGAAAGTGTCAAGAGAGGTGTAAAAAGTAGTGATTTGGGTACCCAATTGAGGAAGAATTTGAGGATTGAAAAAGGAACCAAAAGGGCTTATCGTGGAGTTGTCTACTCAGTGCTCACTCCTGATATTGAGAAGGAGACTTTGGTAAGCACACATATAAATTACTTTTTCCTTTTTGGCCTCTGTATCTCACTACTTTCTTACATCCTTAATGTTTAGCCAAAGAAATTAGTATTCCCTCTGGAAAGTGTTCTGATATTTTGTGTGTGTGAGTGTTTTTAATAAGTTTCAAGTTTCAATCAATTAAGGATTTGTTAGGTTTCTTGCACTGAAAATCTGAGATGTTTCCTTCTGTCATTTTTTTTCCTTTTTTAAATCTTTTTGAGGCCATTGATTGTACGCATTTGAATTTCACTTTTCAGACATTTCAGACTCCATTGTTTGAGACTCCAAAAGCAGATCCAAAGAATGTAGCGTCCATCATATTGGGTGGTGGCGCTGGGACACGACTGTTTCCTCTGACCGGTAGAAGAGCCAAGCCAGCGGTAAGAGATCATTACCTAGGAGTGGTTTTAAAGACTTTTCAGAGAAAATTATGTTTGTATCAAGTTTAAAAGAACCAATTTTAGTGATATTTAATAAAAGAAAATTGCGATGATTTAGTGGTATTTAATAAAAGAAATAAATTTCTGGAATTTTGGATTTGAAGTTTACTGCAATCTTCTTCGGTGTGCAGGTTCCAATTGGAGGGTGTTATCGTTTGATTGATATCCCAATGAGTAACTGCATTAACAGTGGGATAAACAAGATATTCATCTTAACTCAATTTAACTCTTTTTCCCTCAACCGTCATCTAGCTCGTACATACAATTTTAATGGGATGAATTTCGGAGATGGTTTTGTGGAGGTAAGTCAATGTTAAGATGTGATGCATGTTAATTATTTTGTAAGGGCTGCCTCTGAAGCCAAATTTGTACCAAACAGGTTCTTGCTGCCACTCAAACACCTGGAGATGCTGGAAAGAGGTGGTTTCAAGGAACAGCAGATGCTGTAAGGCAATTCATATGGGTCTTTGAGGTAAGTGCTTAAGCTTTTTTTGTTGTAGCTGAAATCGTTGTGCCAAATTCCTCTAAATTTTTATTATGATATTAATCCAGAATGCTAAAAACAAGGATGTGGAGCATGTATTAATATTGTCTGGTGATCATCTCTATCGTATGGACTATATGAATTTTGTGCAGGTAATCAATTCACTAACTTACAGCTTCAATATGTCATCCAATGATTATTCTTTTTTCCCCTTTTGAATTCTTAAACTTTGTATCTTGAAGAAATGTTGATGATTAATTGATATGTGCTTGCAGAAGCATATTGACACAAATGCTGACATCACAGTTTCATGTGTGCCAATGGATGATAGGTATTTCGGTCTATTTTTTTCTTATGTTCCATGCTTTTAACTTCTAAGAAAGGCTTAATGATCATTGCACTTGTTTCTCATAGAATGTCGTGTCAATAAAAAGACTGAATTTGTTTCCAAGATCTCAATGCATTTCCTAGAAAACTTTCTTTCCTCCTCTGTTTTTGCTAAAATTTTACCTTACTTTAAAACATCATATAACCAGATGGCTATTTTCATTCATAATTTGAAACTAATTTTGATTCTATATCTATAGTCGTGCATCAGATTATGGATTGATGAAGATAGACAAGACAGGACGCATTGTCCAGTTTGCGGAGAAACCAAAGGGCCCTGACCTCAAAGCTATGGTATTTCTTGAACCTTTCCATTCCTTGTCTACACCTTCCAGTCGCTACTCTCATTATGTAATTTATATATGGTGTTTTATACTGTTGTGTAACTACTGTAGTTTTTCCCCCCTAATCTTGATCCTATTTGTTTTATATTTGCACCACAGCAAGTTGATACTACTCTTTTAGGGCTATCCAAGCAAGATGCTGCAAAATTTCCATACATTGCATCAATGGGTGTTTATGTGTTTAAAACTGATGTCCTCCTAAAGCTTCTGAAGTGGAGCTACCCATCATGTAATGACTTCGGCTCTGAGATAATTCCGTCTTCTGTGGAGGAACACAATGTCCAAGTAAGGTTACTTTAACAAACTTTTTTAACTTGTGTTTTCTCCTCAGATCTTTTTAAAGTTTGAGATTTAATGCACTACTAATCTGGATATAAATTAACACTGCCTGCTTCCTGGTTGTCTTAATATTGGCAGGCATACTTATTCAATGACTATTGGGAGGATATTGGAACAATTAAATCCTTTTTTGACGCCAATTTGGCGCTGACAGAGCAGGTTTGTGTAGCTTCTCTTCAAAACCTTCACTTGCAAACTGTCTACCTCTTACCACATTAAAAAAAAAAAAAAGCGAAGAAGAAAGAAAGAAAGAAAGAGAGAAAAGAAAAGAAAAAACACTATCTGCATTTTATGTTGTTGATGGATTGTTGCTTGTTCTCTATGCAGCCCCCAAGGTTTGAATTTTGTGATCCAAACACACCTTTCTATACATCTCCTAGATTCTTGCCACCAACCAAAGTTGACAAATGCAGGGTATGATTGCAATCTCAAATCAGTTTGCATCCCTGTGATTCATTGATAAGGCTATTGCATCTCATGGCTTAATTGGTTGCTGCAGATCGTGGATTCCATAATTTCACATGGTTGCTTCTTGCGAGAATGTAGTGTGCAACACTCTGTAGTAGGAGTGCGCTCACGTCTGGAGTCTGGTGTTGAGCTTAAGGTGAGCCTACATTCTTCTACCTTATATCTCTACCTGGGACTTGGAAGTACTTTTCATCTACAAGCAGGTTTTATAAGAAGCCAGGCTTCTACTCCATTTTCTGGTTCTATTTACTTTAGAAGTCACTTTTGGCCATTCACTTGCCAAAGAATTTTAGATGTTGCTATAAGCCATTCTGTAAACTGAGAAGATGGTATGGATGCATACTCATAGCAAGTTACAATAGAGTGCATGCATGAATGCATACTCATAGCAAGTTACAATAGAATGCATGCTCATAGCAAGTTAGTTTTATACGAATCCTGGCTGCTGATCTTATTTATAAAATGAATTGTTAACTATGTTCGGGGAATATGTCCAGGATACTATGATGATGGGTGCGGACTACTACCAAACTGAAGCTGAAATTGCATCTCTGCTAGCAGAAGGAAAGGTTCCGATTGGTGTTGGACAGAATACCAGAATCAGGTGGGTTTGAAAACCCCCTCCTTTTATGCCTGTCTCACACGATCATACACATTCGCATTGCATGAACACAGTAGATGCTAAGAAGGATTAGTAAACGCAGTCAAACATGCGTGTCTTGATAAAATTCCATGCTTTATGTTGAAAATAATCTCTTAACTGAAGCCTTTTCTCAATATTCTTGAAGCAATTGTATAATTGACAAGAATGCCAAGATTGGAAAAGACGTGGTCATTGCAAATGCTGATGTAAGTACTAGTTTTGTTACAAAATTACTGATATTTCATTTTCATCTGATGCCTTATTGCATGATTTATTGATCGGTTCTTGACTTTCTCAGGGTGTTGAAGAGGCCGAAAGACCAGAAGAAGGATTCTACGTTAGGTCTGGAATCACAGTGGTAGTGAAGAATGCAACAATTAAAGACGGTACGGTTATCTAAAACTACACTTTCAGATTAAGTATAAGCTTTAGAAAGTTGAGAGCACTTCGTGTGCTGCCTTAACGCTGTTTCTGCAGTGAAAAATATAGCAATAGCGTTGCGTAGGACTGTACAGATAAATTATACCTTCTGAAATTTTGAAATAAGTATGTATATGCCATTGGCATAAGTAATCCCTCCACTTTATTCAGCAGTATCGATAATGCAAAAGCTATATTACTGCAACCGTATGTATGGACGATTATAGTTATTCCGATATCGACTATAAGATTCAGTTCTGACCAGAAATCCTAAAATTTTTTCTTATTGGTCCCCTGAATACTGCTACTGTTCCCAGCCCTCTGTTTTGCCCTCTCAATGCCTCTTGCTGCCCTCCCATGCATGTTTCTGATGTGGTTAAGCTTCTTAGATTCATAGTTAATGAGCCTGACAGTTGAGGTGTTTTCGCTTAAGATAACCTCGTTCCCATCATGGAATGAGTCCATTCCTTCAGGGAAAAGCTGCCAGAACAAGCCTCCAACGGCTGCACCACTGCGGCTTGCTGATGAGTAGATTGCTGAGTAAACTGTTCGGAAGAGCACATCTCTCTGGTTCAGGCTTGAACCAGGGGTTCTCAAAGATTTTCCAAACTCCGCGAAGAGTACTGGCTTGTGAAGGATGTTCTGAGCATCTTGAGTGTGGTTGTTCAGCCAATTGTTCAAAAATTCAATTTGCCTTTGAAAACTGAAGCCCGGAAACCTGTTAATCAGAAAAAAAAAAAATTCTGTTGGTTTCAGAAATGTCATTTGCTAAGTTTCAGGGTATACTTCCAATAGTTGGAATTACCATGACTCAGGATAGGAATGAACGGTAGTAAAATCAATTCCGGAGATCTGATTGTTTGCAATGAAATCTGTTCCCACAAGAAAACTAGGATTGTTTTCCTGTTTTTGAGATGATGATTGGTCATAATACCCTTCCAATCCAGCTTCAAGTAAATGTTTCCCATCAATGGACTTCACATGAGAAGCCATCTCTGTAATCCACGCCTGTCCGATTAAACCAAAAAAAGTGAGTTCAAGCATAAGTAACATTGGTGTCTCAACGGGTAGGAACTTGAGACTCAAGGTCTGTGTTTCCAACATTGAGGGGGGTGGGGAGAGATTTGGGATCCCCTTTACCTGAATGGTCTTTCCCGATTGATCTGACTGACGTCTAGGTTCATTCATAAGCTCCCAAGCCATTATTGTGGGATCATCTTTGTAAAGAACTCCGGTGAAGGTGTTGCGTCTTGTCAGAACAGTCTGTTACAGAAAATGTGAAAAAGAGAAAGATGTTGTACTAAAGAAGAGAATTAAATCATATACCAAAATGAAGGGAAGAAAATGAAGAAACACAAACCTTGACATGGTTCTTGTAGTATCCCTTCACCACAGAATTTGTGAAGAAATCATCATCAGATCTAATAGATTGCCCCCGCTCTCTTGCCCAGTTCACATACTGTTTCTTCCCTCCATAGTCATCATAATTATTCACGAGACTCAGAATCAGCGTAATTCTATGTTTCTTAGCCTCAGATATCACAAAATCCAACCCCTTACAAAACCCGAACAGAAAAAAATTAGGATCAGGACAGATGATGATGAACGAAACTTACGAAGGACAGAGCATATCAAAATTCTTACCTGGAACACTTGCTCGTTGTAAGAACCAGGTGAGTACTGAAGGGCTCTGTCTCCACCATCCCTGAAAGCCCAAGTTCTGCCTATTCTGAGGCCGTGCTGTCGAGCTTCCTGAAATGCCAACGAGACCTTGCTTCTCTGAGATGGATCGGAAGCCATGTACATGAGCCAGTAAGCATTGAACCCATTTCCATAAAATGGACTTCCACGAAACATGAGTTGCACTCCCCTGGTCGTAACAAACCTGTCATCGGCTTCCACACGGAGATAACTTCCTTGCAACAGAAGAAGAATGCAGAACAAAGCACTCCAGAGCTTCATTTCTCTCTCACACTCTCTGAATGCAGAAATGAAGCTATACCAAGATTGATAAGATCAAAGTTCCACTGGGGTTTTCTTTTTATGGTAGGAGAATAAGTGTTAGAGATATTCAAGAATTGGAAAAAATCAATAATTACAAAAAAAAAAAAAAATTGTGATGTATGGAAGTGAATTTTAAATATTAACTTTAATAACGAATCATAATTGTATATTTATAATTTCATTTTCAATTATTATACATAAAAGGCTCTTAAATTTTTAGCATATAGAAAGCAGGTAGGCAACTCCAAACCACATTTCTTCCTCCTCCACATGCATATGGTATCCTTCTTCCGGTTTTCATGATGAGGCTGAAGTTGTACAGTTAATGCGATAATTACGAGGATTCATTTCATAGTCGTCATCTCCATTAATGGCTGCATTTGATGCCTGAGGCTTGGGGAAAGTGAAAAACCAAAAATGCCCCTCCTGTAATAAATGTTTAATTTTACCACATTTTTCTTGGCTTAACTCTTTATTTAACCCCTTAACTTATAGATTTTAAGGTTATTAGCCCCTCACTAATATGATTTAAAGAAATTCATTATTATTTAATAGATTTTAATATCACATCATTAGTCAAATGTTATTTCTATCTTAATTAGTAATGCAGTCAATATTTTTATCTTATGTGATATGTGATTGTGGTAATATCACACTTTCTTGTAATAATTTTTTTTTTAATAAAAAAAACCTTATTTAGAACTTGACAAAAACAAACAATTTAATTTTACTAGAGTGGGCCCCTTTTATTTTAAGGAAGGAATTTTTGTTGATTATCATAGTAGCACGCCACGTAGGATAGAAATGTTTACCATGTTGCTTATTAAGATTAAAATAATATTTGACTAATAATATAAAGTTAAAATCCATTAAGTAAGAATGAATTTTTTTAAATTATATCATGGAGAGATTAATACTTTTAAGTTTTTGTGTGAAGATTTATAATCATAAAATTTATAAGTTAAGGGAGTTATAAGGGATTTAGCCATTTCTCTTCTGAGAAAAATTCATTAATGAGGATGACTAATTTTCTTGTAACTGTCAATGCCAGTTTTATGTAACAAAAAAAAAAAAAAATCTGATAAATATAATTTGCTTGACTTTTTTTAAATGTAACTTTAGATAATATTGTTTTATAATATATGGGTGATAATTAAAATTTTGTTTATATTTAGTTTTTGTTAAGTATTTATTTGATTAAAAATTGTTTAATTATTATTTATATATTATAAAAAAATATAGCCTAAAAATACATATAAAAAATTAAACAATTTATATTTAAAAAGAATGAAGTACATTTTTGTTATAAATTTATATTGAAGACAAAAATTAACTTTTAATTTATTAAACATTCTAATTAAATTTATATATTCGCCAATCATACTGAATTTAATTTTAATTTATATTTTTTTTTATGCATATTTATCATTAAAAAATGTCCTCAGCTTGCGCTTAAAATTAAGCATATGTTAGAAAACTCTTCACTTTTATTAATAGCATCCTCTGCTTTATTAAAGAGTGTAGTTATTATTACACAATATTTTGTTGAGGTCACATAAATAATATAATAATTAAGTGTGTTTAGTTTGATTAATTTTATAAATTTATATATATTTTAAACATTTGATAATGTCTCAAATGACTAATTTTAATAAATTAAAAAACAAATACCAACTATTTTACTAATTAATAATTACAACTACCAATTATTATTAATAATAGAATTAATGTTTCGTGTTGTCTTTATTAAGAAATGAAATAAAAAAATAAAAAAAAGGAATTGTGGGACATGAATCATTTCCTATAATGTTTTTGTCAATCATGGTTGTGGTCTATTTGCTGCATTACACCTTGAATTGAAGTGATTTAAGGTTCAAGAGATTTCAAAATTGTTTGTCTGAGGGCACAGCTTAAAGTTTATTAATTATGATATTTATAGTTAATGTTATATAAATTTTTATATTAGATTTATATATTTTTATAAATTTTGATTATAAATATTATATTATATAAATATAAGAGATTGGTGCAATTTAATATTGACTTTTAAAAAATTAAAATCTCAACTTATATTTAGAAATTAAAATCCTAATTTCAAATTCAAAAATTCAATTAGTTTTCAAATTTAAATATCAATGTTTAATAAATAAATTTTTAAATTTTAAATTAAATTTTAATTAAATAAAATTACATAATTTAAAATTAAAGCTTTAATTTTTTTAAGAATCAATATTAGAATATATTTTTTCCTAAGTGTAATGCATATTAATTTTGATTTTAAAAAATAAAATCTCAAATTAAATTTAAAAATCTCAAATTAAATTTAAAATTTAAAAATTCACTACATTAAATGTTAATATCTAAATTTGAAGATTGATATTAATATAATTAGTTTTCAAATTTAAATACCAATATTTAGTAAGGTGAATTTTTAAATTTTAACTTAAATTTTAATTAACTAAAATTGCATAATTTAAAATTATAACTCTAATTTATTTTAAGAATCAAGATTAATATGTATTTTTTATGTTATATTATATTTTTATATTTTATATTAATTAAATTTAA